CAATATTGAAAACTCAATGTCCCCCTTGCTAAAAATATTTTCAGAATACTGTAAAATCTCAGGATATACAATTAACGTGGAAAAAACGGAAATAATGGCAATAGGAAAAATAATAACTCATGATCTACAGAAATCCTTTGTGGACCACAAAAAAATATGAAATACTTAGGATGCTTAATAAGTGACAACAAACAACAAATATATAAAGATAACTTTATCCCATTACTCAACAATATGAAAACCGATCTATTTAAATGGAACAATCTTCCCATAAATCTTACAGGTAGAATAAACCTCTTCAGAATGGCATGGCTCCCAAAGTTTGTATATTTATTCTTGGTAATACCAATTATCCCACCGAAGACATTCTTTAAAAAAGTATACTCTGCATTAACAGACATTATATGGGCAAATAAAACTCATAGAATAAAAAAGGAAGTCTGAGGGTGGTTTTAACCATGAGACATAGGTTTTTACTTGAGACATATTGTTAAATGCATTGTTGGGTAATTATTAGACGTGTATGCTCACCCCCAAATCTTTTCATGTGCCTATTTTCAAAGGATAAAGCTAAGAAAATGAACAACTTCATAGTTAAGAACATCAAAACAATATGGAAGAAAATGAAACAGATTCTACAAGAACCAATATCACTCCCAAAAAATAAAACCCTATGGAACAGTCCTTCGAAAGCTTTTCCGAATGCACCGATAAATTCATCCACATAGAAACCATAAATGACTTGGTAATAGGAAATACATGTATTTCCATGACAGAATTAAAAAGCAATTTTGGACTGACCAATGAAGATATTTTCAAATACATTCGATTTTAAATATTTTGGACAATCTTAAGGTAATCTTATTGTTGTCCTTTAGTAGTGGTTTCTTTGCAGCAATTCGACCATGAAGGCCTGATTCACACAGTCTCCTCTGAACAGTTGATGTTGAGATGTGTCTGTTACTTGAACTCTGTGAAGCATTTATTTGGGCTCCAGTTTCTGAGGCTGGTAACTCTAATGAACTTATCCTCTGCAGCAGAGGTAACTCTGGGTCTTCCATTCCTGTGGTGGTCCTCATGAGAGCCAGTTTCATTATAGCGCTTGATGGTTTTTGCGACGGCACTTGAAGAAACTTTCAAAGTTCTCTTTGCTTATTTGAGCTGTTCTTGCCATAATATGGACTTGGTCTTTTACCAAATAGGGCTATATTCTGTATACCCCCCTCACAACACAACTGATTGGATAGAAATTCCACAAATTAACTTAAGAAGGCACACCTGTTCATTGAAATGCATTCCAGGTGACTACCTCATGAAGCTGGTTGAGAGAATGCAAAGAGTGTGCAAAGCTGTCATCAAGGCAAAGGGTGGGTATTTGAAGAATCTCAAATACAAAATATATTTTGATTTGTTTAACACTTTTTTGGTTACTACATGATTCCATATGTGTTATTTCATAGTTTTGATGTCTTCACTATTATTCTACAATGTAGAAAATAGTAAAAATAAAGAAAAACTCTTGAATGACATTTACACAGACACTCTTGGTTTGGGGATAAATAAATAGTCTCCCAATATGATTTGGCAACTAATAATACCACATGGTTTACAAAGTGCAAGTACAGGTCAAACCAATGAGAGGGTACTTATGTATCCAATTGTCATAGACATCAATCAGCCAACAAACAATATTCAAATTGTTTCTACAATATATGAATCATATCTAGTCTCAATACAAATGTGGATACAAAATCACGAGCTGTGCTTTGGAATTCTTATTTACAGTGCAACAAACAGGTATGGTGGGGAAATTACAAGATTATGTTATAATACTATTATTGCATCAAATTGTTGTTTTATGCAGCATAGTAGGTGTTTTGGAGCCCTCCTGTGTCTGTGTGGAACTGAGATGAGCCTTAAGAGATTTAAACGCTGACAGCTGATTTGCGATGACTTGGTGATAAGACAACATTCCATTCCATGATTAGTGTCTGTCGGTGCCAGGGAGACCCAATCTCCAGTTTATTTATCCTATATGGAAGATGAACACTGGACTTAATCATTTGAGGGAATGACTTAGTGTTCTAGGTTACATTAGTATTTCTGTATAAACAAGCAGTAAATGAGACAGATATTTGGCTCCATGTAAATCTTGATGTCTGTATCATGAGAGCACAATGTACTGTTTTACCCATTCCACACATCTGCTGTTTGTCATGTATTCAGAAGGATGTGTCTTTGCTATAAAGGGCTGTAACCTCAGTTCTCTTTTCTGAGTTCTCAGTGATCACCTCCAGGGTGGTTACTGACCAACTCCATTACTGCAGTTATTAATCGATAAAAAAGTTATCATTGTTTTGAAGAAATCTAAAAGTCTCACCTTAGATTAGAATAATTACAACAACAATTTTAGCGACGAGGATGGGATAATCCTTGAGAGAATTACAGACAATGGAGTCTAATATGGAATGCTGTTTGGGTCTTTGCATGTCAAAAAATATACACGTCAAATAACACTATTTGACTTCTCAAATTACACTATTTGACCTGTCAAATTAGCATGTTGACCAATCAGGACCTGAATATGACATGACATAATAATTTAACACATTCATTCATTTTTTACGGAGTTATTACACATTGATTACACTATCACTCGTATTTCATAATAATAATATGCCATTTAGCAGACGCTTTTATCCAAAGCGACTTACAGTCATGCGTGCATACATTTTTGTGTATGGGTGGTCCCGGGGATTGAACCCACTACCTTGGCGTTACAAGCGCCGTGCTCTACCAGCTGAGCTACAGAGGACCACCATATGTCACAACGACTCATCGATACGTATGCTATGATGCTGGTAAAGTTTTGTCTCGCGCACCTGCCCTTCCTCAAGCTCTGGACAGTGCTGGTCATAAAAAAAGATAGCTAATGTTAGCTGATGGATGCAAACAATGTTCTTCCCCAAAAACATAGCAAAACGACAATCTGTTTCAGTAGCTATGGTTAGCTAGCTAACTATCTAGCTAGGTGTCATCATCTAAAGTACCCCTAATTTATAAAATGGTTCTTATTTGATTAATGGCTTCACCTATGTGAAGCTAGCCACAATAAGGATTAGCCACAATAGTGGAATTTGCGGTTAGCCTTCAAAATAAAAGTATGTCATTGACAGTGATACAAATGAATACAAATAGTGGAATTATGCCATGGATCATGCTAAACGAGGTTGGATTGTTGTTATATACAGTGGGGAAAAAAAGTATTTAGTCAGCCACCAATTGTGCAAGTTCTCCCACTTAAAAAGATGAGAGAGGCCTGTAATTTTCATCATAGGTACACGTCAACTATGACAGACAAAATGAGATTTTTTTTATCCAGAAAATCACATTGTAGGATTTTTAATGAATTTATTTGCAAATTATGGTGGAAAATAAGTATTTGGTCAATAACAAAAGTTTCTCAATACTTTGTTATATACCCTTTGTTGGCAATGACACAGGTCAAACGTTTTCTGTAAGTCTTCACAAGGTTTTCACACACTGTTGCTGGTATTTTGGCCCATTCCTCCATGAGATCTCCTCTAGAGCAGTGATGTTTTGTGGCTGTCGCTGGGCAACACGGACTTTCAACTCCCTCCAAAGATTTTCTATGGGGTTGAGATCTGGAGACTGGCTAGGCCACTCCAGGACCTTGAAATGCTTCTTACGAAGCCACTCCTTCGTTGCCCGGGCGGTGTGTTTGGGATCATTGTCATGCTGAAAGACCCAGCCACGTTTCATCTTCAATGCCCTTGCTGATGGAAGGAGGTTTTCACTCAAAATCTCACGATACATGGCCCCATTCATTCTTTCCTTTACACGGATCAGTCGTCCTGGTCCCTTTGCATAAAAACAGCCCCAAAGCATGATGTTTCCATCCCCCATGCTTCACAGTAGGTATGGTGTTCTTTGGATGCAACTCAGCATTCTTTGTCCTCCAAACACGACGAGTTGAGTTTTTACCAAAAAGTTATATTTTGGTTTCATCTGACCATATGACATTCTCCCAATCCTCTTCTGGATCATCCAAAGGCACTTTAGCAAACTTCAGACGGGCCTGGACATGTACTGGCTTAAGCAGGGGGACACGTCTGGCACTGCAGGATTTGAGTCCCTGGCGGCGTAGTGTGTTACTGATGGTAGGCTTTGTTACTTTGGTCCCAGCTCTCTGCAGGTCATTCACTAGGTCCCCCCTGTGTGGTTCTGGGATTTTTGCTCACCGTTCTTGTGATCATTTTGACCCCACGGGGTGAGATCTTGCGTGGAGCCCCAGATCGAGGGAGATTAGCAGTGGCCTTGTATGTCTTCCATTTCCTAATAATTGCTCCCACAGTTGATTTCTTCAAACCAAGCTGCTTACCTATTGCAGATTCAGTCTTCCCAGCCTGGTGCAGGTCTACCATTTTGTTTCTGGTGTCCTTTGACAGCTCTTTGGTCTTGGCCATAGTGGAGTTTGGAGTGTGACTGTTTGAGGTTGTGGACAGGTGTCTTTTATACTGATAACAAGTTCAAACAGGTGCCATTAATACAGGTAACGAGTGGAGGACAGAGGAGCCTCTTAAAGAAGAAGTTACAGGTCTGTGAGAACCAGAAATCTTGCTTGTTTGTAGGTGACCAAATACTTATTTTCCACCATAATTTGCAAATAAATTCATTAAAAATCCTACAATGTGATTTTCTGGATTTTTTTCCCTCAATTTGTCTGTCATAGTTGACGTGTACCTATGATGAAAATTACAGGCCTCTCTCATCTTTTTAAGTGGGAGAACTTGCACAATTGGTGGCTGACTAAATACTTTTTTTCCCCACTGTACACTACCAGTCAAAGGTTTGGACACACCTACTCATTCAAGGGTTTTTCTTAATTTTTACTATTTTTTACATTGTAGAATAATAGTGAAGACATCAACACTATGAAAGAACACATTTGGAATCATGTAGTAACCAAAAAAGTGTTAAACAAATCAAAATATATTTTAAATAGACACCACGCCAATACTGGCAGGGACAGTACCACTGACCTTACTGTATATACAGTATCTACACCTGTTCTAACCCTGAGTTCTCCCCTGTGACGCCATGCTCCTTGCTGCTGATGATAGCCTTGATATCCTCTGCCTTGGCCTTTTTCTTCATGCGGTGTAGAGTATTGACCAGTTTCTCAGAGGCTGTGGCCATCCCCTCCTTTTCCACCCAGGCCCTCAGTAGGCTGGAGCACTGCTGCTGGGAGTCATTGGGAAAGTCCAGCTGGTGGCATTCTATGGCGGTATGTTTCATCCCGCTGCGCTCGGCCACCTGTTTCATGTCCTTCCACCCCAAGGCGTTAGCGATTTCTGGGAGGTGTGGCCTGAGGTCAACACCTGAAACCAAAGAAGAAAGAGGGATTATGGGTAAATCTTAGTTGGAAATTATATACATAAGTGTCATATAAGCACACATGGCACACATCAGTAGTAACATTGATGATGTTCTTACCTCTAAGTGGATGCATTTCCTGTAAAAAAATAAATACATGTAAAACACATTCACTATTGATATTTAACTCACTAATTATAATAGATGACATGATATGTAACAGTGATGTAGCACTAGAGATGCATGTGTGTGTTTTAAGTGGTGGCTGTAGTCAGGAACAGAGTGGAGTAGTGTGACACTTAAGTGATAATGCCAGAGAAGCCGGTGTTTGGAGGATATATTGGCACGGGTGTTGTTAGGCCTGAGACGAAGTCAATATATCCTCCAAACACCGGCTTCGAGGGCAACAAGGAGAATGGCATAACAATGAAGAACTCAGGGTCATTCTGTACATTAGTTTATACTGGATTAAGTTTAATATCTTGGTTCCAACAATTTATATTATTTTCTAAGACGTCAGTTGGCTCTCGGCAAGGTTTTGTATATCTCATCTCTCAAATGAATATCCTTTTCTGACTCTAATAGGATTTCCTCAAGATTGCTCTGATGTCCAAAAGATTTGAAATCGAAATTTCGTGATATGAAACTTTTAAGTGGCATGTATTTGAAAATATCTACATTCCTCACTTTTATACAACGGGTTACCAACATATTCAAATAATGATTGACATATTTTCATTAAAAAACGTTATTTTGATAAATGTATTCATAGTATTTCATCCTTCCACAAGATATAGTCCCGACACAAATATAGGGTTGCTACCCAAGCCGGCTGGTCGTTCGTTCTATCGGTTCAGTTGCCAGTCATTCAGTCTTTTTGTTCTGTATCTATGGACACGACCCAGTCGTTTGTTCTAAATGTTCCATTGCCATACTGGCTGGCAACGTTCTTATCCCTTGCTTGCTAGCTAGCCAACTACGGCTAACTTACAGTCACGGCAAACAGTGCAGACAGAATAACAACAGTAGCTGCATTTGCATATGTTTAAGCTGTTTTCTAGTGGCATTTATTTGGATACATCCATAACAATGAGCTACTGAGGCGTGATTTCGCCTGGCATAGAACAGGACACTGTTGTTTAGAGGAGCTTGCCAACAACACAGCTAACACAATCACTTCAAACTGAAGCTGGAAAGACTGCAAACTAGCTGCACTTAGTTTCTTTTGACCTTTTTTCAATTGATATTTATTTGTATAAATCCATAAAAATTATGCCAGCTGATTCATGATTTCGACTGGCTGAGAAACGCTGCCTGCCTGTCTGTCTCGTCCCGACCCCTACATGTTCATTACTATGGGACAGCTGGAGATCCAATTTGAATATTTAAACAATGTTGCAAATGTCGGAGAGACAGACAGCAAGGTTTATACAAATCTCCGCTATTGAAAACTAAATGTTAGTCTAAAAGAAAAGTTAGATAATGTCTAGATGCTTTTTATAGTGGAGATCAAGTTTATAACTTGCCTGGCTGGGCTGATGAGACAGTGGATTGTGCAGTCAGATGGAACAGAGTAAATAGGCATTTTACTGTCATAGATTTAGCCGGTGGTAACTTGTGGAATAGACACCGGTTGGAATGCGCTTTTAACCAATCAGCATTCAGGATTAGACCCACCCCTTGTATACAGCATTCAGGATTAGACCCACCCCTTGTATAAACTGAAGATAATTACCTCCGCTACCTCTGAACTCCGGTTGGGCAGTTCGGTCGAACCACCATTTGGCCCTAACAAAGGAAAATAGAGACATTTCAATGCTATTTCAAGGACGACTCAAAACCAGATACTTTTGGAAAGAGAGCTTTTCAACAAGCCAGACTTCTCCTCTCTTCAACCGCTTTACCAACTAAATTAGAGAATAACCTCTTCTGCCCCCTTCTGGTGATTTAGCATAGTCTACAACTGGCAGAATGACCCAAACGCTTACCAAAACAATATTTCTTCTTTCGCCACAGGTAAATAGGCACAAACAAAGCGACAAGAAGAACAGCAATCAGGACAACTACTGCTGCCAAAGTGCTTCCTCCTGCAATAAATTAAAATAAAAACCTAATTTTTATATTAAAAAACAACCTTATAACATTCATACTGTAAGTGAAAGCACATCTTCCAAATCATTGTAATGCATTGAAATGTTATGGTTTTGCTCAATCCCCAAACCTTGTTCTTTGACGGCATGGCATATGGTGTTGTTGGTGGCGCTACAGGCTACCTTGATGCCCTCATCCCCGCATCTTCAAGAGAAATGATAAGATTTGATGCAGAAAGGTATCGCTCTAGTCTATAGCCTACACCAGATTTAATGATAACACTTTACTGTAGGTGTCCTTATTCATGCATTCTTAATCCTGTCTATCTTAATCCTGGTCTTGGGGACCCAAAGGGGTGCACATTTTTGTTTTTGCCCTAACAGCTGATTCAAATGATCAACTCATCATCAAGCTTTGATGATTTGAATCAGGTGTGTAGTGCTTAGGCAAAAACAAACATTTGCACCCCTTTGGGTCCCCAGGACCAGGATTAAGAAACACTGATATAACACATTACAACATTTGTCATATGATGTCATAAGTAGTTTTAAACAGTCATGAGTAACGGCATACGATTATATAACACTAGTTATAATGGGTGTTAAGGCGTCGGTATGCTCCTAGCAGAACTCGCCTAGGCATAGTGAATGTCTGTGATTGCATACTCCTGAAATACCTTCGCTTGAAAAACTATAAAAAAGCAGCAAAATCACTGTTTGTCCTTCTTGAGTGGCCGTAAGCCAGTACACTTCCTCAAAATAGTCAGAATTATTCTAAGATAACTCAAGAAATCTGTAATTAATTTAGAAGTTTATGCCAAGGAGGTCATAGTCACGCAATTTCACAACTAACTAAGATGTTTGGTGCAGTATTTCTCAAGTGAAAAAATTTGCAAGTCGTAGGTCGTTGAATGACAACAAACACTTCATTAAAGAATCCCTACTGTTGACCAATCACCGCGTAGACCTCGGCAACCGAACTTCGACTAACCTCAAGAAAAAATTTAATGTGCTCGAAACAGCTGACCTGTTTAGACTGGGAAGCATACTTTAAGCTTTATAGGCGACTGTTCATCCTGTTGTCATATGCTCTAATGTCAACTGTTAATAACAACTGCTATTACACAGTCTGCCTGACAACTTATGTCTTATGTTATTACATGCTACATAAGTATCTACACTCCAGATGTTATGACCATGCGTTACATCATTTACCAAACTCTGTGTCACATTATTACAGTGAATGGAATGATGGGTGTCATAACCATGTCATATGCCATTATAGAGTGTGCACAAACACCTTAAAGATGGAATCTGCAGTAGTGGAAACAGCGCCACTGTCCGCTCCACCGCCATTGTTATTGTTTTTGTTAAGTTGACAAAGCATAGTTGAGGAGCTACGTGGTAAAAAAAACCCAAAAAAACTGTACATTTTCTGCTGTTCTATCGCACGTGCAATGATGTCCAAAGGAAAAAAAATCTGTGTTTGTCGTTTGCAGTAACTTCTTTGTTGTTGTAATGTCGCAAATGGACATGTTAGTTTCAACATTAAAGATTCCAGCTTTAAGTAAACTGATATTAATTTGTGGTGTTATAAAACAGTAATGTTCTTAATACCACAGAGTTGAGAGTATAATAATATGCCATTTAGCAGACGCTTTTATCCAAAGCGACTTACAGTCATGTGTGCATACATTTTTACGTATGGGTGGTCCCGGGGATCGAACCCACTACCCTGGCGTTACAAGCGCCATGCTCTACCAATTGAGCTACTGAGGACCACAAAACCATTTAGGATCTCCAAGAAACATGGGCAAATTGGAGCACTGATGTATTTAGGATTATTATTTTTTTGACACAATAAACTGCTGAGTTGTACAAATTGGACCACATCCTTTCCTCGATTCCTTTCCTCTTTTCCAGCTTCATTTCCTTCCCTACCTCCCTACCTCTATTTCCTCTCCTCCTTTTGCAAATTCGTAACATATTGTATGTTTTGCAAATTCGTAACATATAATAGGAATTGTAATTTGTAACATATCATACGAAATGGGTGATGGACATCCACAAATTAATACATACCATGCAAAATGTAACATATTGTACTAAATGAAGTGTCTCGGATTTACTTACAGAATAATACGAAATGCTCTGAGACCAGGATGTCTGGAGAGATACATGTTACCCATTTATGTCATTGTTACTGTAGCCTGCACAACCTCCTTTTTTCACAGCTGTCACAAATCCTGTTCTACCCCAGAGAAGTTTATTGTTTCATTTGTTGTAATAAATAAAAATGATAATCCTAACTACGTATGTGCCCATGTTTCTTGGAGATCCTGAATGGTTTTGTGATACTATAAACTCATCCTGTGGTATTATGCACATTCATAACTGTTTTATAACACCTCAAATTAATGTCACTTTACTTAAGGTGTCTGTGCACACTCTATAACGGCATATGACATGGTTATGACACCCATCATTCCATTCACTGTAATAATGTGACAGAGTTTGGTAAATGGTATGGGTCTTTCTATAAACTAGTGTACCAGTGAGGATTTCCTACACTGGACAACTTGTTACAGCTGTTGAAAAGTCATTGATAATAATCCTCCAAATTTGTTCATGTCATTACATTATGATATAAGGGGGGATCATAGCTATATTCAATAAAATTCACAAGTTGATTTAAAACCTATGTTTAATCCTTTATCATGGTTGGTGTCTTGACGGATTTGTCCAAAATCGTGTGACATAAAACATTACTTTTCTGTCCTTGCATTTATGGCAGTGTAAGTTGTCGCTATATCATATACTAATCAGTTAAATTAGACATTGAACTTGAACCCTGTAAGAATCCTGGATCTAGCTGTCGGACAGTTTTTTTGTATAGACATCTCAGAAATGCAGTGTAACTACGTAACACTTCGTCCTTATGTTACGGGGTGAAAACTTTTCATGGGCACACAAATCCAAAATAATGTATGCATTGCAAAATGGAATGCTTCTAACCGAAATAGTCACCTTACCTTGATACTTCAAACTTAAATCAATACTATCATTAACGTGGTTCTTCAATAATTATGCATAATAGTTGTTGCATGGGCATTTGGTGTCTAGCTGATTAGTTACGCGTCACATTTTCACACATTGTCATCTGATCCAGGAAGGAATTTTCAGAATGACAGTCAAGTGACGAACAGCTGTTGTGATCGGGCATGCGATGCAACAACAGCCCAAGTGCTAGAAAATTCACAAGGGATGTCCAGAATATTTTGGTGTTTCATTCTTTACACCGGTGAAGACAGTTGTGCCTGGATCCATGTTGGATATAACATCCCTAGCGAATTGATGTTGTCTGCTTGATTTACAGCAGGGTCTTGTTAGATTTAACAGAGAAAGCATCAAGGTAATGAGTTCATGTTTTCATATGTATTTGTGCCTCGGATTGGACACCGAGTCTACTGTGCGCAATTGTGTAGGATAGACTATTGCGCAACACCCAACGCTATTCCTATTAATTATTCTGGATATAATGACAACAAATTACATAGCCTAGTGGGCTTATTCACAATATGATCTGGTAATGAAATAACTTGACGAATAAGTTTTGTTTTCCATGTTAAACCTGCTATTTTAAACAAGTAGGCAACTTCAGGGGGCTTGAAGTTGCCTACTTGAACTTGAATGTGGAGCTCAGAAATTCAAGTACTGGAATAGGCCTAGCTAAAATCAGACATTTCCTCAATTTGGTGCAAAAAAAGTTATTGTAATTATTGTAGTCAATTTATAAGTTCTCCTGTTCCCTTATAATTATCTGTGATTTCATTTTTGGTCCGTTTTTGTGAGAGATGTGGCCACTTTAATTTGTTTCCCGTCGCTTCGATTGAAGGGTGTTGTGCTACTCTGTTGCAGTAAAACCACATGTGGTTATTATGAGGAAGACAACAGCTAATGCTGGCTTCAAGTTGGCATTCCATACAAATCCTTCCATTAAAAAAGATGATAAAAACAGCGATGGTGAGTTTCAAATGGTGAGCTTAATGCTACCGCTATTCATGGCTTTGTTATGTGTGCCTGCGTCAGCCACATAGGCTACAGAAAAATCGGCATGCATGCATTTAGTCAGGCAATGTCCACATTATTCTCACATATTTAAGAATGTAATAATAATTTGAATATAAATGCATTGGCAAGGCTTTAAAAAATAATTATTGGATTTCCAAGATGGCGTAGCAGTGCGGTTGTGTACTATGTGTGTGTCCGTGTAAATAGCCAGTTTTCTTTATTTCTTTATTATTTTTCGTACATATTTCCCTATCATGCTTTTCATCCTTCTACTAAATATACTTTCCTACAACCCGCCTCACTCAATGTGGAACGGATTATATTATTGACTTTCCTTTTATCTAGAATCTCCAGTTGAAACAAGCTAGCCAGCTAACTAGCTACTTGCTATTAGCCACCGTTAGCGGTTTTCACCCAGAACATCTGATTTTCTGCCGGAATAACTGAATCACTGGACATTAACACCGGATCGCAACTAGCTAGCCGCAACCGAATGGATGTTGCTGTTGGCTAATCACCACTGCCCCCGAAGCAAGCACCAGTTAGCCTTGAGCTAGCCTCGAGCCAGGCCCATATCCCGGCTATCTACCTCTCTGTCTACCGGACGGGAGTAGCCAGCTAACTAGCTACTTGCTATTAGCCACCGTTAGCGGTTTTTCACCATTGTCCGTGGCCTGCACTACCTACCAGCCAGCTCTAGCCTGGACTATTATCGGCCAGTCTGCACTGTCTGCACAGCACGTTATCGACCCAGAACATATCGTTTTTTCTGCCGGAATCACTAAATCACTGGACCTTTAACTCTGGATCATCGCAACTAGCTAGCTGCAACCAAATGGATGTTGTTGTTGGCTAATCAGCCTTGAGCTAGCCTCGAGTCAGGCCCATCTCCCGGCTATCTACCTCTCTGTCAACCGGATGGGACCTCCTAGAGTCGACACGGAGCCCCGCCGATCCATCACGACTGGTCTGCCGACGTAATCATCTGTGGTTTCAACAGGCTTCCCGTTGCGACGACCACGAAGATCCATCTGCTAGCCCCGGCCCGCTAGCACACGCAAACTACAGCCGTGCTTCCTGCTAGCCAGTGCTGTAGCACCAATTCGAACTGCTCTCGGACTCACATATTGCTGTTCACTGGACCTTATGATCACTCAGCTGCACAGCTGATGCCTGCTGGACTGTTCCTTTACACGATACCCTGTCCTGTTTATCTGTTTAGCCTCAGCCCAATCTTTCATCGCCATTACCAGTTGTTGTCTTAGCTCTCTCGAATAACACCTGTGATTGCTTTATGCCTCTCTCCCATGTCAATATGCCTTGCCTATTGCTGTTCCAGTTAGTTCTTATTATACAATTTCACTGTAAAGCCCCAAGTCCCTCTCAAACTGCCTCAAATAGCTCCTTTGTTCCACCCCCCATACACGCGGAGACCGGCTCAATCGGTGCCTCCAGTGATGATATCTCTTTAATTGTTACCCAACGCTTAGGTTTATCTCCACTGTACTCATATCCTTCCATATCCTTGTCTGTACATAATGCCCTGAACCTATTCTACAACGCCCGGAAATCTGCCCCCTTTACTCTCTGTACCCAACGCACTAGAAGACCAGTTCTTAAAGCCTTTAGCCGTATCCTTATTCTAGTCCTCCTCTGTTCCTCTGGTGATGTAGAGGTTAACCCAGGCCCTGCAGCCCCCAGTATCACTCCTACTCCCCAGGAGCTATCATTTGTTGACTTCTGTAACCGTAAAAGCATTGGCTTTTTGCATGTTAGCATCAGAAGCCTCCTCCCTAAATTTGAGTTATTCACTGCGTTAGCACACTCCGCCAACCCTGATGTTCTAGCAGTGTCTGAATCCTGGCTTAGGAAGGCCACCAAAAATTCAGAAATGTCCATCCCCAACTACAACATTTCCCGTCTAGATAGTACTGCCAAAGGGGGTGGAGTTGCAATCTACTGTAGAGATAGCCTGCAGAGCTCTATCATACTATCCAGGTCTGTGCCCAAACAGTTTGAGCTCCTACTTCTAAAAATCCACCTTTCCAGAAATAAGTCTCTCCCTGTTGCCGCTTGCTACAGACCCCCCTCAGCCCCCATCTGTGCCCTGGACACCATATGTGAATTGATTGCCCCCCATCAATCCTCAGAGTTCGTACTGCTTGGTGACCTAAACTGGGATATGCTTAACACCCCGGCCATCCTACAATCCAAACTAGATGCCCTCAATCTCACACAAATTATCAAGGAACCTACCAGGTACAACCCTAAATCCGTAAACATGGGCACCCTTATAGATATCATCCTGACTAACTTACCCTCTAAATACACCTCCGCTGTCTTCAACCAGGATCTCAGCGATCACTGCCTTATTGCCTGCGTCCGTAACGGGTCCGCGGTCAAACGACCACCCCTCATCACTGTCAAACGCTCCCTAAAACACTTTAGCGAGCAGGCCTTCCTAATTGACCTGACCCAGGTATTCCTGGATGGATATCGATCTCATTCCGTCAGTAGAGGATGCCTGGATGTTCTTTAAAAGTGCTTTCCTTTCAATCTTAAATAAGCATGCCCCGTTCAAAAAATTCAGAACTAAGAACAGATATAGCCCCTGGTTCTCCTCAGACTTGACTGCCCTTGACCAGCACAAAAACATCCTGTGGCGTACTGCATTAGCATCGAACAGCCCCCACAATATGCAACTTTTCAGGGAAGTCAGGAACCAATATACACAATCAGTTAGGAAAGCAAAGGCTAGCTTTTTCAAACAGAAATGTGCATCCTGTAGCACTAACTCCAAAACGTTTTGGGACACTGTAAAGTCCATGGAGAATAAGAGCACCTCCTCCCAGCTGCCCACTGCACTGAGGCTAGGAAACACTATCACCACCGATAAATGTACAATAATCGCGAATTTCAACAAGCATTTTGCTACGGCTGGCCATGCTTTCCACCTGGCTACCACTACCACGGTCACCAGCTCTGCACCCTTCGCTGAAACTTGCTCTGCTGCCAATGACTGGAACGAATTGCAAAAATCTCTGAAGCTGGAGACTCTTATCTCCCTCACTAACTTTAAGCATCAGTTGTCAGAGCACCTTACCGATCACTGCACCTGTACACTGAGACCCATGGGACGGCGCACAATTGGTCCAGGGTAGGGGAGGGAATGGCCGGCAGGGATGTAGCTCAGTTGGTAGAGCATGGCGTTTGCAACGCCAGGGTTGTGGGTTCGTTTTCCCACGGGGGGCCAGTATGGGAAAAAAAAAATGAAAAAAAAAAAAAAAACCTGTCAGGTGGATGGATTATCTTGGCAAAGGAGACTCCCGAGTGGCGCAGTGGTCTAAGGCCATTGGTGCCACTAGAGATCCTGGTTCGAATCCAGGCTCTGTCGTAGCCGGCGGCGACCGGGCGCACAATTGGTCCAGGGTAGGGGAGGGAATGGCCGGCAGGGTTGTAGCTAAGTTGGTAGAGCATGGCGTTTGCAACGCCAGGGTTGTGGGTTCGTTTCCCACAGGGGGCCAGTATGAAAAAATTAAATAAAAATGTATGCACTCACTAACTGTAAGTCGCTCTGGATAAGAGCATCTGCTAAATGACTGAAATGCCCACTAACAGGGATGTAAACAAAATCAGAGAAATAAGCTTTTTGTGCAAATGGAACATTTCTGGGATCGTTTATTTCAGCTCCTAAAACATGGGACCAACACTTTACATATTGCGTTTATATTTTTGTTCAGTGTATTCAAAACGACGTATGACAGCTTATATGTTATATAGCTGTTATAAAGACTTCATGAATGCATGAATAAGGACACCTACAGTAAAGTGTTACCGATTTAACAATGTGTCTTTAACCTTTAGAAAACAATAAATCAATGTATTTTGATAGCTATTTGGTTAAAGATGTCCACTACAGTATCTTGGACTTACGTGGTACACGGGTAGCAGGCCCTGCAGTGCTCCTTCCCCTTGTTACAGTAGTGGCCCTGCTGGCATCGACATACTGAGTCCCTGAAGATGGTGCATTTTTTCTCCATCTCCAGATTGACTACGAAGGACAACCACCACAGTGACAATACATTACAAAGGTTGGGTTACGGATGTAACCTTGTTTCTCTGAGTAGTGTAATGGGTCGCCAAACGACCTATGGGAATTCCTTCCCCTTCACGTGATGTGATTGATATGCTTAATATCAAAGATGTTTACAGTCACGCCACACCCTTAGTGTACCCACATGACCTGTCACTATAAAAGGCGGTATGGCGCGACATACTGTCTATTACTTCATTCGAACCCCACGGAGGGGGAGGAATGACATGAAAGCTTTTACTCTACTCAGAGAACCAAGGTTATATCCGTAACCCAGCATTCCCTTTAATTTTCGTAACAGGTCGCCAACAACCTATGGGAGAGGTTGTTCGGACAACAGAGTGGGATAACTCACCATTTAACCTGGGACATCCTTGTATCCACCACAGGATGCAACATAATATAAATACCCAACAGGGTAACACAGGTGGTCACTCGGTATAACATATTATGGGGAGTCAACGACCAATCCTATTCACCTGAAGAAAAAACTGAAAACACGGCCAACGGGCCAATGGATGCCGAGTCCGCCCTCGGAAGCCCCGCCATCCTGGCTATAATACCGGGGCTCGCATTCATTTCCTAAATTCTTCGCTCTTCAGCTCGCCTGAAGGAAAAATGTGTCACGCAATTTACTAACTTTTCAAGCACACGAAGGCTATGAGATTCGGCTCTGACTTAGGTGTCTGTTAGTGGGGAGAGAGTACTCGTCCCTCTAGATGTCGCGAGTTTTGGGTATTGGTATCGGTTTTTGTGTTTGCTAAAAGCTAACTACTTTCTGCTCTGCTTGTGTAGCTTATGCTTCCTTGTTTGGGTAGTATTTGTGTTTGCTAAAACCCCACTGCTTTCTGCTCTGCTTGTGTAGCCAGTGCTTCCTTGCTTGAGTAGGATGGCCAGTGGTAAGAGTAAGTTAAAAAAAGGCTAACCAGCCGAGTTTGAACTTCTGATCGTGCCCTAGAGCATGTGGTTTCACAATGAAAATGAAAGATACTCACGAGTGCTGTCCTGTTTGCCTAGGTTGGAAACACGCTCAAGAGGCCTTGGCTTGGACCAGTTCGCATTACCATTGTCTCCGGGCTGGGTTCAACTTCCATTGGGCGTTGGGCTGACTTTGTGAGGAAGATTGGGGCTGCTGGCGAAAGGTTTTCCGGTGAGGCGACCTAGGAAATGTGGTTGTCTGAGGCCGGGAGAGAGCACCAGCGGTGGTCGGAGATGATGAGGGTGTCATCTTAGCCGAGTGAGGGTAATTCCAGTTTCTCTGGCAATGTTCAGAGTCCAGATTCCGGGGATGATATGCTATCCCTGGTTGGCTCTGGAGGGTTTTCAGAGTGTGAATCAGATGACATCAGTCCAAGGCAGCCTGAATCCCCGGCGTTGGATTCGGAGGGGGAGAGTGAACCATTGGTGGTTAATGCGCCTTTGATGGAGCTGTGTTGTAGGGCGGCAGATCACCTGGGGATGGGATTGGCCATCTTTTCCCCATCAGCGGAGTTCCTCCAGGTTTGGGGGAAGGTATTTACCTCCTGTCCCTGCAGCGGTGAAGAGTCGCTTACCCCTGTTTAAAGATTTTGCCGATGAGCTAAAGGTGACCTGCGATTCCTCTCATTCAGCCAGGCTGGTGCTAGCAGGTTATGGCGAGTTCATGAATGTAGAGGGTATGGAGGAGGCGGGGCTCGTTGGCACACCGCCAGTGGATGGAAGGCTGGCAAGTTACTTAGCTCCAGAGGCTAACAAGGGGGCTAATCCTAGCACGGTGCTTCCGAATAAATAGTGCAGGTTCTTGGCGGATCAGCTGGACAAAGTGTACCAGGCTGAGGGTATGGCGGCCCGGTCGTTGAATGTGGTCAAAATGCTGCAGATGTACCATATTGATTTGCTGCAGGAGCTGAATAAGACCCTAGAGGCGGGGAAGCCGGTTTTAGAGTTTCTCTACGAAATCCGTGTGACTGCTGATTTTGCGCTGCGTCTTTCCCGGTTTACTATCCTGGCTGTTTGCTGTGGCAACAGTGCTCCCAAGTGACTCGGTCGATGGGGGCCTGGTGCAGGCCGGTTATCAGAATGGTGGTACCACGAGAGCCTTTCGGGCTCTCCCTATCGCCCGCACCTTTTCTATGGTTGTGGAGGTCTGATGGCCTCTATGATACTGTAGCTGCGGTGCCTCTGGAACTTCCGTTGATGAGTCTGTTTCAGTGTTGGGTGATTGCTACGCGTCTGGACGCACCTCGCCACTGCCATTCGTTGCTCAAGGTATTCCGTTGTGCCTAAGGGTGTTGACTCCTTGGAGAGACCCGCGACTTCTGTTGCAGGGGGTTCTCAGGGGCGGGGTAGTGTCCTGCAGGGTGATCACAACAGATGTGTCCATTCTGGGGATTTGGTAAACAGTGCAAAGGGCACCACATATCAATTACCTAGAGCTACTGACTGTTTTGATAGCGCTGAGGCGTTTCCTTCCGATGTTGGAGGGCCAGCATGTGTTGGTAAGGTCCGAAGACAGGACGGCGGTAGCATATATCAACAAGCGGGAGGGGGGGGGGGGGGGGGGGGGGGGACGCGGTCTCTCTCTCTCGTAAACCTGGCCCGTTATCTGCTCGTATGAAGCAGTGCGCATTTCCTGTCGCTTGGGGCGACGTATCTTCCCGGATCTCTCAACGTGTGTGCGGCTCTACTTTCCGGGGGTCCTATCTCTATGGAGTGGGGACTGCACCCCTCATGGTTGCCCAGATGTGGGACCGGTTCGAAAGGGCCGACGTAGATCTTTACGCATGGCGAGAAAACTTGCATTGTCGTCTCAATGAGGGATCTAGGCGCTCCGTTGGGAATGGATGCTTCTGCGTATCAATGGCCTCGTACTCTGCTCTATGCGTTTCCTCCGGTTGGACCTGATTCAGGCCACCATGGAGAGGCTCCGTCAGGAGGGTCTGTTGTTGATTCTGGTGGCTCCCTGTTAGCCCAGACAACCCTGGTTCGCGGAGATCATACACCTGTTGGGCAGCGACCCACGGAGGGTTATGTGTCGTTGGGATAGATTGTCCCCAGCGCACAGGAGAATTTGGCACCCTTGGGTTTGGCCCCTGAAAGGTTGAATTTGATGGCTTGGGCTTTACTCTCAAACGTGATTACGACTATACAGTCAGCGCATGCATGCTCTATGACATGGTTGTATACATTTAAGTGGCACGCGTTTGAGGGTTGGTGTCAGATTAAAGGAGTTTCTCCTTTTCAGAGCTCTTTGGTGGACATTTTGATGTTCTTGCAAGAGCTTTTTGAGCAGGGCCTTTCTTTTTACACATAAAAAGTTTATGTGGTGTGTCATGTAGGGATTGACAGCTCTACCCCGGGGTCTCATCCTCTGGCGCGGTTCCTGAAAGGTGTGTGTCGGCTCAGACAAGTCTAAGCCTATGGCACCGACCTGGGACCTGGCTTTGGTCCTGAACGCTCTGTGTGAGCCTTCGTTTGAACCATTGGAGTCTGTGGACCTGAAGGTCCTTTCCTACAAGGCTACCCTGCTCAGAGCATTGGGGATCTCCAGACATTATCAGTACACCTGTTTGGAGTTTGTGCCTGGTGACTCCGAAGTGATGTTACGTCCCCCATGCAGCTTTTGCTCCCAAGGTTATGCCTATGTCTTACAGGTCCCTGGCCTTCGAGCTGTTCCCTTTCTCACCTCCTCTGTTTGCTTGCAGTGAACAGAGGTTGCATGGCCTGTGTCCGGTGCGCACTTTACGCACGTATATGGATAGGACCAAGGGTATCCGTGTTTGTGTCCAGCTTTTTGTCTGTTTCGCTAATCCAGCTCGGGGTAGGCCTCTTTCTAGCACTGTCTTTTTTCATTGGATTGTGGAGGCTAACTCCCTGGCATATGACAGCAAATGTCAAGGGTTGCCTAGCGGTGCACGTGCTCACTTCACTAGGGTTGTGGCGGTTTCTTGGGCATTGTTCAGGGGCATGACGATTAGTGATGTCTGTGCTGCAGCGAGTTGGGGTTCCCCACATACCTTTGTGAGGTTTTATCACTTGGATGTAACTGCTCCGAGTGTGGCTCATATTGTTCACTTGGTAGAGCATGGCGCTTGCAACGCCAGGGTTGTGGGTTCGATTCCCACCGGGGGCCAGTATGAAAAATGTATGCACTCACTAACTGTAAGTCGCTCTGGATAAGAGCGTCTGCTAAATGACTAAAATGTCAAATGTAATGGCTTGGCCCTGGAGTGGGTGTTAGGCAGCACGCAGGTTTCACACTTATCCGGGTTACCACAGTTAACCCTGAGGGATTGAGCCGTGTCATTTTGGAGTCACTTTTATTGTACTACATATTTGTGCATCTGTAACTTTCTCACTCATCATTATTTAAGATTCATTCAGGATTATCCGTAATCATGGTAGCATCCACATTAATGTTGAAGAGTTTAGAAACATATTATATTCTTATGTACAATAAAAGTGACTCGAAAATGACACTATACATTATTTACCATTCATTTCCATTAGGACGGAGTCTCGACCCCGAAGCACTATGGATCGGAGTCGGCGGTAAGTGTAACTATTCTCTCACCGACACCGAGGCAATCGAAGCAGTGACAGAGACACACAGAGACAAAAAGCTATTTATTTTTATTAGTAATCTTTACTTATGTGAAAATCTGTTCTTTAGCAGATTGATTTAGTGCTGTAAACAGGTGTCATTCCACCAGTGTCAACAGTGTGAGAAACAACTCCCAGCCTCGGATGAGCAAAAACATTATTTTCTTGGGAGCTGAACATGCTCAAGCTCTTGAACTCACTGTCAGAAATTCAAACCGAGAGCTTTGAAATCACGACTTGCACGCTTTGGGGCAGAGCCAGGGAGTTGCTCCATTTCCAACACAACCAAAACAAACAGCAAATGCATCCAACACATTTGTAGAGTCACATGCTTGATGTAGTCATTGCGTGCTATGAATATGGGACCAAATACTT